AATCAATCAAATTAATATGTACAATAATAATAATAATTATTATTATTATTATTATTGTTATTATGTTTATTTATATGTCCTTATTTTTATTATTATATTTATATATATTTATTTATATTTACTTATTATTATTATTAAATTATAAGCAATATTGGCAAAATGGCATGTTTTCATATTTTACCAGAATGTTTATTTGATAATTAAATTGATCTGATAATAAAATTAAGACAGGTTATTTTAGTGTTGTTTTATATGTCTCAAAATGTATAGTCTTTTATGGATGTTGATATATGAATGATGATTAAAAATTATTTTAGATATTATAATATACAAGATTTTTTTGCATTCATGTAATTGCATAAAAATGTTGTGGACCGTTACATTTTATGCTGCATAATAATTTCATATTTATTTACTGTCAGGCAGGAAATGTAGGTTTTTCTTCATTGCATTCAGCGCATATTCACAAGATTTATCAGACTTGATGTACAGTACGTGCAAATTGTGACATGTTTGACCTTTTAGACCTTTCCATGGTTTCCGATTGGTCATCAGTGGCTTGTGGTTCTGGAATGTCTGACCTAGTTGTTATTTCTAGAAGCTCAATTGAATCCATATTAATTGTGTTAACAAACTTTATATTCCTAAATGTGATTAGTTTCAGAATCTTAACCTGCTGTTTCACCTTATAACAGTCACACAGCACACATAACAGTGCTGAATAATAAGATATCAGGCAGTCAAGGACAGAAAAGGATTGTTGAGGTTCAAATGCTTGAGAAATGAGGAAGTGACGTCATGGAAGGTTTCTGAGGCAGCAGAAACTCAGAGCAGTGGATTGGAATCGAAGTAAACAGGTTTCTAAAGAAGCTTAGGCTTAATAATTTGGCTGAAGTGTGAAGACTTTTGTTTTAGTACTTATTAGAAGACTTCAAAGTAACTTCACACCAAAGACTCTCTGGTATTACACTGCAAAACTTTATTTTAATATTTTGAAATGTATGCATATGTATGTATGCACTATGCAAATGTTTATGTATGTGTAGTTAGGCAGGTAGATAGATAGATAGATAGATAGATAGATAGATAGATAGATAGATAGATAGATAGATAGATAGATAGATAGATAGATAGATAGATGGATAGAAATAATCAGATAGATAGATAGATAGATAGACAGACAGATAGATAGATAGAAATAGTCAGATAGATAGATAGATAGATAGATAGATAGAAATAGTCAGATAGATAGATAGACAGACAGACAGATAGATAGATAGATAGAAATAGTCAGATAGATAGATAGATAGATAGATAGATAGATAGATAGATAGACAGACAGATAGATAGATAGATAGATAGATAGATGGATAGAAATAGTCAGATAGATAGATAGATAGATAGATAGACAGACAGATAGATAGATAGATAGATAGATAGATAGATAGATAGATAGATAGATAGATGGATAGAAATAATCAGATAGATAGATAGATAGATAGACAGACAGATAGATAGATAGATAGAGAGATAGATAGATAGATAGAGAGATAGATAGATAGATAGAGAGATAGATAGATAGATAGAGAGATAGATAGATAGATAGAGAGATAGATAGATAGATAGAGAGATAGATAGATAGATAGAGAGATAGATAGATAGATAGAGAGATAGATAGATAGATAGAGAGATAGATAGATAGATAGAGAGATAGATAGATAGATAGAGAGATAGATAGATAGATAGAGAGATAGATAGATAGATAGAGAGATAGATAGATAGATAGAGAGATAGATAGATAGATAGAGAGATAGATAGATAGATAGAGAGATAGATAGATAGATAGAGAGATAGATAGATAGATAGAGAGATAGATAGATAGATAGAGAGATAGATAGATAGATAGAGAGATAGATAGATAGATAGAGAGATAGATAGATAGATAGAGAGATAGATAGATAGATAGAGAGATAGATAGATAGATAGAGAGATAGATAGATAGATAGAGAGATAGATAGATAGATAGAGAGATAGATAGATAGATAGAGAGATAGATAGATAGATAGAGAGATAGATAGATAGATAGAGAGATAGATAGATAGATAGAGAGATAGATAGATAGATAGAGAGATAGATAGATAGATAGAGAGATAGATAGATAGATAGAGAGATAGATAGATAGATAGAGAGATAGATAGATAGATAGAGAGATAGATAGATAGATAGAGAGATAGATAGATAGATAGAGAGATAGATAGATAGATAGAGAGATAGATAGATAGATAGAGAGATAGATAGATAGATAGAGAGATAGATAGATAGATAGAGAGATAGATAGATAGATAGAGAGATAGATAGATAGATAGAGAGATAGATAGATAGATAGAGAGATAGATAGATAGATAGAGAGATAGATAGATAGATAGAGAGATAGATAGATAGATAGAGAGATAGATAGATAGATAGAGAGATAGATAGATAGATAGAGAGATAGATAGATAGATAGAGAGATAGATAGATAGATAGAGAGATAGATAGATAGATAGAGAGATAGATAGATAGATAGAGAGATAGATAGATAGATAGAGAGATAGATAGATAGATAGAGAGATAGATAGATAGATAGAGAGATAGATAGATAGATAGAGAGATAGATAGATAGATAGAGAGATAGATAGATAGATAGAGAGATAGATAGATAGATAGAGAGATAGATAGATAGATAGAGAGATAGATAGATAGATAGAGAGATAGATAGATAGATAGAGAGATAGATAGATAGATAGAGAGATAGATAGATAGATAGAGAGATAGATAGATAGATAGAGAGATAGATAGATAGATAGAGAGATAGATAGATAGATAGAGAGATAGATAGATAGATAGAGAGATAGATAGATAGATAGAGAGATAGATAGATAGATAGAGAGATAGATAGATAGATAGAGAGATAGATAGATAGATAGAGAGATAGATAGATAGATAGAGAGATAGATAGATAGATAGAGAGATAGATAGATAGATAGAGAGATAGATAGATAGATAGAGAGATAGATAGATAGATAGAGAGATAGATAGATAGATAGAGAGATAGATAGATAGATAGAGAGATAGATAGATAGATAGAGAGATAGATAGATAGATAGAGAGATAGATAGATAGATAGAGAGATAGATAGATAGATAGAGAGATAGATAGATAGATAGAGAGATAGATAGATAGATAGAGAGATAGATAGATAGATAGAGAGATAGATAGATAGATAGAGAGATAGATAGATAGATAGAGAGATAGATAGATAGATAGAGAGATAGATAGATAGATAGAGAGATAGATAGATAGATAGAGAGATAGATAGATAGATAGAGAGATAGATAGATAGATAGAGAGATAGATAGATAGATAGAGAGATAGATAGATAGATAGAGAGATAGATAGATAGATAGAGAGATAGATAGATAGATAGAGAGATAGATAGATAGATAGAGAGATAGATAGATAGATAGAGAGATAGATAGATAGATAGAGAGATAGATAGATAGATAGAGAGATAGATAGATAGATAGAGAGATAGATAGATAGATAGAGAGATAGATAGATAGATAGAGAGATAGATAGATAGATAGAGAGATAGATAGATAGATAGAGAGATAGATAGATAGATAGAGAGATAGATAGATAGATAGAGAGATAGATAGATAGATAGAGAGATAGATAGATAGATAGAGAGATAGATAGATAGATAGAGAGATAGATAGATAGATAGAGAGATAGATAGATAGATAGAGAGATAGATAGATAGATAGAGAGATAGATAGATAGATAGAGAGATAGATAGATAGATAGAGAGATAGATAGATAGATAGAGAGATAGATAGATAGATAGAGAGATAGATAGATAGATAGAGAGATAGATAGATAGATAGAGAGATAGATAGATAGATAGAGAGATAGATAGATAGATAGAGAGATAGATAGATAGATAGAGAGATAGATAGATAGATAGAGAGATAGATAGATAGATAGAGAGATAGATAGATAGATAGAGAGATAGATAGATAGATAGAGAGATAGATAGATAGATAGAGAGATAGATAGATAGATAGAGAGATAGATAGATAGATAGAGAGATAGATAGATAGATAGAGAGATAGATAGATAGATAGAGAGATAGATAGATAGATAGAGAGATAGATAGATAGATAGAGAGATAGATAGATAGATAGAGAGATAGATAGATAGATAGAGAGATAGATAGATAGATAGAGAGATAGATAGATAGATAGAGAGATAGATAGATAGATAGAGAGATAGATAGATAGATAGAGAGATAGATAGATAGATAGAGAGATAGATAGATAGATAGAGAGATAGATAGATAGATAGAGAGATAGATAGATAGATAGAGAGATAGATAGATAGATAGAGAGATAGATAGATAGATAGAGAGATAGATAGATAGATAGAGAGATAGATAGATAGATAGAGAGATAGATAGATAGATAGAGAGATAGATAGATAGATAGAGAGATAGATAGATAGATAGAGAGATAGATAGATAGATAGAGAGATAGATAGATAGATAGAGAGATAGATAGATAGATAGAGAGATAGATAGATAGATAGAGAGATAGATAGATAGATAGAGAGATAGATAGATAGATAGAGAGATAGATAGATAGATAGAGAGATAGATAGATAGATAGAGAGATAGATAGATAGATAGAGAGATAGATAGATAGATAGAGAGATAGATAGATAGATAGAGAGATAGATAGATAGATAGAGAGATAGATAGATAGATAGAGAGATAGATAGATAGATAGAGAGATAGATAGATAGATAGAGAGATAGATAGATAGATAGAGAGATAGATAGATAGATAGAGAGATAGATAGATAGATAGAGAGATAGATAGATAGATAGAGAGATAGATAGATAGATAGAGAGATAGATAGATAGATAGAGAGATAGATAGATAGATAGAGAGATAGATAGATAGATAGAGAGATAGATAGATAGATAGAGAGATAGATAGATAGATAGAGAGATAGATAGATAGATAGAGAGATAGATAGATAGATAGAGAGATAGATAGATAGATAGAGAGATAGATAGATAGATAGAGAGATAGATAGATAGATAGAGAGATAGATAGATAGATAGAGAGATAGATAGATAGATAGAGAGATAGATAGATAGATAGAGAGATAGATAGATAGATAGAGAGATAGATAGATAGATAGAGAGATAGATAGATAGATAGAGAGATAGATAGATAGATAGAGAGATAGATAGATAGATAGAGAGATAGATAGATAGATAGAGAGATAGATAGATAGATAGAGAGATAGATAGATAGATAGAGAGATAGATAGATAGATAGAGAGATAGATAGATAGATAGAGAGATAGATAGATAGATAGAGAGATAGATAGATAGATAGAGAGATAGATAGATAGATAGAGAGATAGATAGATAGATAGAGAGATAGATAGATAGATAGAGAGATAGATAGATAGATAGAGAGATAGATAGATAGATAGAGAGATAGATAGATAGATAGAGAGATAGATAGATAGATAGAGAGATAGATAGATAGATAGAGAGATAGATAGATAGATAGAGAGATAGATAGATAGATAGAGAGATAGATAGATAGATAGAGAGATAGATAGATAGATAGAGAGATAGATAGATAGATAGAGAGATAGATAGATAGATAGAGAGATAGATAGATAGATAGAGAGATAGATAGATAGATAGAGAGATAGATAGATAGATAGAGAGATAGATAGATAGATAGAGAGATAGATAGATAGATAGAGAGATAGATAGATAGATAGAGAGATAGATAGATAGATAGAGAGATAGATAGATAGATAGAGAGATAGATAGATAGATAGAGAGATAGATAGATAGATAGAGAGATAGATAGATAGATAGAGAGATAGATAGATAGATAGAGAGATAGATAGATAGATAGAGAGATAGATAGATAGATAGAGAGATAGATAGATAGATAGAGAGATAGATAGATAGATAGAGAGATAGATAGATAGATAGAGAGATAGATAGATAGATAGAGAGATAGATAGATAGATAGAGAGATAGATAGATAGATAGAGAGATAGATAGATAGATAGAGAGATAGATAGATAGATAGAAATAGTGAGATAGATAGACAGATAGAACGATAGATAGATAGATAGATAGATAGATAGATAGATAGATGAGATGTTTTCATATATATTAGATTGTTTATGATGGGATTTATTATGTATGATGTATATTTATGATAACTAATATGCATAACTGATGTTTTAATATTGTTTTATTTTAATGAATCACAAGACAATTAAAATGCAATATGTACATTATTATTATTATTTGTTATAACAATAATAACAATTATTATTTATTTTGTTATTGTTTAATTCAAATTGCGTACTAGATATTTTTAATAATTATTAGACTTCATCAGTTAAACATGATAATCATTTATTTATTTAAAATCAATGAGAGCAAAATGTTTCCATATATTATCAGATTATTTATGATAAAATTTATGATATATATATATATATATATATATATATATATATATATGATAACTAATATGCAGAACTGATGTTGTTTTATTTTAAATAATCATATGACTACAGTTAAAATGTAATATGTACATTATTATTATTATTTATTTTATTATTTTTTAAATTGTGTTCTAGATATTTAATAATCATTAGACTTCATCCTTTAAACATATATATTAATTTATTTAAAATCAATGATCGAAAATTTAGATTTATATATCAGATTATTTATGATGAATTTATGATATATAAATAAATAAATATATATATATATATATATGATAACTAAGATGCAGAACTGCTGTTTTAATGTTGTTTTATTTTAAATAACCATTAGACTACATAAATTAAAACTTAATATGATATTAATAATTATCATTGTTGTTATTATTATTTATTATTATTTTAACAATAAGAAATAACAAATATGTGACCCTGGAGCACAAAAGCAGTGTTAAGTCGCTGGGGGATATTTGTAGCAATAGCCAACAATACATTGTATGGGTCAAAATTATACATTTTTCTTTTATGCCAAAATCATTAGGATATTAAGTAAAGATCATGTTCCATGAAGATATTTTGTAAATCTCCTACCGTAAATATATCAAAACTTCAGTTTTGATTAGTAATATGCATTGCTAAGAACTTCATTCGAACAACTTTAAAGCTGATTTTCTCAATATTTAGATTTTTCTGCACCCTCAGATTACAGATTTTCAAATATTGTCCTATCATAACAAACCATACATCAAGCTTATTTATTCAGATGATGTATAAATCTCAATTTCGAAAAAATTGACCCTTATTTTGTGGTCCAGGGTCACATATTATTATTTATTTAATTTTATTATAGTGGTCTTCTAATTGTGTTGTCTAGATCATTACTGTTTGAACATTTGTTTTATTATATAATTCTTTTTGTGTTGTTTTGTTTAAGGACATTGTTTGGTTCTGTTTGCTCTCTTGGTCAGATGCACTGACTCCCGCATCCAGCCCTGCGTCAGGTGTGGCGGGACAGGACGAGTTCACCTGCACCTCTCTGAACCTGGAGTGCCGCGTGTGTTCGGACCGCGCGTCAGGATACCACTACGGGGTTCACGCGTGTGAGGGCTGCAAGGTGAGAGCCGGCCCTTTAAGTCCTGCAGATGATTGCCTTCACAAAGATAATGAATGCGGGCTGAAATGGCACTTTAGCAGCCGTTTGCCTACTTTTTAAGGTTTACAGTAGAAGATAATATTTCTGTGAATGTTACTGTAAAATATGTGTATAATGTAAGAAGTATAGAGGCATTAGACTGAAGAGTTTCTGTATATTATCTCTCACACACACTGCTGGCCTGTCAAAGCCGCAGGACACACACATACTGGCCTCATTGAGGTCACTGAGGATGTTTTGCCCTCATATCTGCGTCTAGAGGAACATCTGTTGACTGCGCACATTAGTCATAATATTGTTGTTAGATGAGCACCAAAAACACTGGCTGCGTTCTTACCACAGTGTGTTTGCTTTTGCTTTAATGTTTATGTGCTTTATGAACTCAACAGACCATTATATTGTCTGGGAGAATTAAATGCATTTTGAAGTATTTTAAAGTGTAAAATAAATAATCATTAGACTACATAAATTAAACAATTATATAATAATTGCATTTTTGATAAGCGTTAGACTAAATCCAACTTAATATGCACAATAATAATGAAAATAATAGTTTATAATAACAGTTATTATTATTATTGAAAATCAGTTATAGCATAGTGGGATGTTTTAATACATTGGCAGAATATTTACCTGATGCAGAACTGATGTTTTAGTTTTGATTTATTTATTTTGTGTTAAATAATCATTAGACTACATCAATCAAAACTTTATATGTTTTGATTAACTTTATATACAATAATAATAATAATAGTTACTGCTATTATGTATTTATTATAACAACAGTTATTATTTATTTTAACAGCAACAATTATTTTTTATTTGTATTACTATTCATTTGTTGTTATTGTTGATCAAACTGACGATTGCATTACATCTCTCGTAGTATTTCTGCGAAATTTGTATATTTATTGTTGTGTATATGCTATGTCACTTCACTTGCAAATTGATTCGATTTTCAAATGCTCGCTGCTCATAACGAATCATTGGAAGCTATTTATTCACTTGCCACCCGACTTACAGTAGGCCTTGACCTTGATGTTCAAACACGGGCGACAGGTGCGTCCTCGCCCCGTCCGGCTGTGAGTTATGGGACTGCTTGAGCCGAGTCACAGGCCACGGCTGCAGAGTGCAACACGCTCCAGAAGAGTTAAATACAGTGTGATATGATGATGATGCAGTGTTTATCATTCATACAGGCTTATACTTATTTATACTCATTTCTAATACTGTTTCTATGACCACACCAGCTGGAGTAAGAGCGGTACTGTGGATCAGAGAGTCAAATAAAAGCACACATAATATATTTTCCCACTGCATATTAATTAGGGGTGGGAGAAAAAGTGATTCTCCATGCCTCACAATTTTCTCTTCAAGGATTCCAAAAACATCACAAATGTCAAAACAGATCAGCAATAATGCTTAGAAAAACAGAAAAGTCCTTCAGTGTGCTTGTCTAGAATCTTTCAGCACTTAGAGATGCAATGCACTCTTTGTTTATTAGGGATGTAATGATTAACCGCGAGCCGGTTGAAAGTCGATTCAAATATGTGAGGATTCAAATCGGTTGAGATGCTAAACAAATCGCGATTCATTTAGGGGTAAGAGTTTATATGAATGCATGTCTGAGGGGAACTTACTGTCTTTAGAAAAGTTTAGATGGTATTTTTTCTTTTCCTCTTGCTTCTGTATAATGCATATTAAAGTTCATAAGTGCAGCGCTGCTTTGTTTACAGCGGAAACCAAGAAAACGCTTTAAGCGCCGCCTGCTGGCAGAGAGTGAATCTGCGTCTCGTTCAGCTCGTCTGCTGTTTCGGTTTCATGCAGATATTTTTTATCCACAATTTCTCAAAACTGAAGTCAAACCATTCTGTTTTTGCTTCAAATTTCGAAATTATACCAGTTAGTCTGGCTTATATTGAACCAAATCAATTGACAATAAGTCAGGCTAACTGAAATAAACCTGGCTTATTTGGTAAACTTGTTTTAGGAAGCAGGCCCCTGATTTACTTGAAAGCTTGTTGATTATCACTCATTTTGGATTGTATATACACTGGTGGACTCACTTTGGGACTTTTTCAGCACTCTAGAATTCTTGGACTGTTTTTAGGGTATGGTGCAGAGAACTGTATGCTTGCAACAGACTGAGTTTTCCTGGTTTTATTGTGCTGTTTTAAAGTCCTGTGAACTTAGAAATACGTTTAAGAACGGAGTATTTACAGATTTATGTCATTATTTTAACACATATAAACCCATTTTAAACTTTGTAACCCAGCCTGTTAGGCTGATCGTTACAAGGTGGTTACCAAACGTACCTTTAGTATAGAACAATTTATTTTCATGAACAAATGTTAATTTAGACACCAAAAAAATGTTTAGAAGAGTTTGTTTTGCTTTGCAAAAACAAACAATTTCCAGAACTACTTCTTGTCTTTTATTAACAAGTTTCAACTTACGATACAAAAATAAAATAATGCACAGAAATGAATTTGCTTCATTTAAAAACAACTTAAATTACAAAAGTAATGTATAGAACAACTTTATTAATTTCATTTTTAAATTTTCCAGCATCCCCATTTTCTCCAGAACTGTCCTGAAAGAAGACAAAAAAAGGGAAAACTTATGAAAATTGTGTGGCCTTCGAAGGACGCAGCCTTTCAATTGGGATGCAGCTATAGATTCAACGCGACTAACACATGACTACGACAATATATGGTTTATCTGAGTTCTTCTTATTATAATTTTCATTATAATAAAGCATATTTTACTTTGTTATTAGGGATGTAACGATTAACCACAAGCCGGTTGAAAATCTATTAAAATATGTGACGATTCAAATCGGTTGAGATGCTAAACAAATCGCGATTCATTTAGGGGTAAGAGTTTATATGAATGCATGTCTGAGGGGAACTTACTGTCTTTAGAAAAGTTTAGATGGTATTTTTTCTTTTCGTCTTGCTTCTGTATAATGCATATTAAAGTTCATAAGTGCAGCGCTGCTTTGTTTACAGCGGAAACCAAGAAAACGCTTTAAGCGCCACCTGCTGGCAGAGAGTGAATCTGCATCTCATTCAGCTCGTCTGCTGTTTCGGTTTCATGCAGATATTTTTTATCCACAATTTCTCAAAACTGAAGTCAAACCATTCTGTTTTTGCTTCAAATTTCGAAATTATACAATGTAATTTAGATTCAAAACTGCTCATGTTGCATGTATGCAGCATCTTTGTTTGGATCATGATTAAAATGCAGTGGTTGCCTCTAATTTTAAATGGAAAGAGCACAGACAAAGCCTTAATTTTTTATATGAAGAGATTTGTTTTACTTATTTATTTGATTTGGGGCTTGTTTAAAAAAAATAGTTTAGTTATTTACATTTACATTATATTAGAATTTAGTAATTTAGCAGACGCTTTTATCCAAATCGACTAACAAATGAGGACAATAGAAGCAATCAAAACCAACAAAAGAGCAATAATTTACAAGTGCTATATTAGTATATTATTATAGTGTTAGATTTAAATTTCACAAAGAAACGTACAGCATTTTGTCCAAGCAATAATAAAAGGGCACATTTAATTTATAATTTGTCTTAAATCTCAATTTGTTAAAAAAAGAAATCGTGAATCGAATCGTGAAATCAAAATCGTGAATTGAATCCTGAAATCAAAATCGAATCGAATCGTGAGTTGAGTGAATCGTTACATCCCTATTGTTTATTGCTGGCAATATGGTTCTTTATTACTGACTATTTGCTTGTAGTCTTTGTTTGGCTTATATAAAAACAATAAAGATTGTATTTGTAATTATTCAAGAAAAGTGCTTAGAATTAAATAATTAAATAAAAATGGTATAAATTAAATATTGAAATGTTTAGCTTGTTTTTTGAAACCTTATTTGAAAATGACTTAATTACAAATTAATAATAATTACTGTAATTGTTTTTGCTAAAAAGTAATTTGTAATTTAAAAAAATAGTATAAATTAAACATTTAATTAAATATTTAAATATTTGGCCTATATTTAGAAAATTACCTTAAAAAAATTACAGTAATTATTATACGTTTGTAATTATTTTATAAAGTACTTATAATTAAATAAGTACTAGAAACTTTCAGATACTTAAAGCAGCCTAAAAATGTATTGCTTGTAATTTGTTTTTCTTTATTATTTACTTTTTGCTTGTAGCCTGTGTTTTGTAGCTGTATTTAGAAAATGTTATAATCAAAACAATTACAGTAATTATTATTCATTTGTAATTTTTTTAAAGTACCTATAATTAAATAAGTAATTAAATAAAAATGGTATAAATTAAATATTTTATGAAATATTTAATTATTTAGCCTATGTGTTGAAGCTATTTAGAAAATTGCTCATTTAAAAAAATTACAGTAATTATTATTAATATAATTTTTTTTAAAGTGCTTATAATTGACTAAGTAATTAAATACAATTGTGTAAATTACATATTTAACACTAGAACCACCAGGGGTCGCTGTATACCTAAAAGCGGCAGCGGTTCAATTTTACCCAAGCACATGACAACTGTTTTTGAATGGCTAAAGAACATATTATTTCACTGTATTATGCTACTGTCTTCACAAAGAAGTGTCTAGAGTCATGAAATGATTATGTCTAGTCATCAACTATATTTTTGTCCTGTTGTTTTATGTTCAAGGCTTTTTTATGCTATACAATGTCATTAATCAATATATTAAGTAAACCCATGCTATTTAAATGACTAAAATAGCCTATAGACATTAATGAGCAATAATAATTCACCACATTGCTTTTTTTATGCAGGCTACACTAGTCACTTTTCATAATGGTCAATATTAAGCTAAACAATCCTGCACTCACAATGAGAATTAGAAGGACGTAAATACATATTTAGGTGGTGTAACAGGTCATTAATCAATATATTAAAATAACCTATGTTATTTAAATTACAAAAAATTGTCTATAGACAATAATGAGCCATAATAATTCACCACATTGCATAGGATGATACGATGACAAATTCAAGCGCACAGTTCCACCTAATTAATTATTAATTTGTTTAGTTGTATCATTTATAATTTGAATGATACAAGAAGAACACCAATAAACTTCGGGTAATCGAAAAAAAAAAGGTTTTATTCATTAGCCTACATCAGACCGGATTTTTTTTTCTTCAGGAAACAGGCAGACTAGAATAAATAGCAACACAGAAGCGAACAATAAACGATAGAAATGGCAAAACGAAAATTAAATAACTAATCCAAATTTTGAACAATTATGAGTAACGTTAGGATAAAACTCGTCTGCGTCTCCATCTGCTCAGTCATGTTTTGGACACTCTCGACCTCTCCTCCTCTTCCTCCTGTCCCTGGTGCCTCTCCATCTCCCTCCGTATCTCCCCGTCTAATCTCCCTTTCGAAACCGCAGTGTTTCTAGGGACGAAATGGCTCAATATGAGTGAAGCAAGAGCGATTAGTTTTTACAGCCCCGTTCCTTCTTGCCAGCCTGCACTTAAACCTCTGCTCTGCTGGCAGACCGCTGGTCATCTTCAGGACTTCGCCAGATTATGCAAGACGCTCGATTTCATGCTTTGGATGCATTTATGACCTGAGGAACTGTTTATTCTTTCCAGGGAATAACGCTCTGATGTTAAGCTGGAGTTTATGGCTTTCAGCAGCGGTTCATCGTCATATAAGTTTGAATATAAATGTGTTTTTTTTTGGTAATGGTTGGTAAGATATTTTTGTGTTTTTGTTCACCAAGGCTGCATTCAATTGATCAAAAATACTATAAAATACTATGAAAAAACAGCGAAATTATGAAATATTCCCCCGGTTTCACAGACAAGGCTTAAACCTAGTCCCAGACTAAAGTGTAATTCTGAGCTGTTTCAACTGAAAGAAACTTGCACTGACTGATCTTAAAACATATCAGTGCCTTTGTTTGGTCTCAAGATGCACACCAGTGATGTTTTTTCTAAGGCATGTTAATCAAAATTACTTAAATGTCCTAATTGAACTATGACCTAATCCTGGCTTAGTCTGAGCCCTGTCTTTGAAACCGGGCCATTATTCGAATGAAAATGAACTGTCTTCAATTCAAATGTGTTCAAATATATAATTAATATAATTTCTTCCTGTGATGCAAAGCTGAATTCTCAGCATCATTACTCCAGTCTTCAGTGTCACAGGATCCTTCAGAAATCATTTTAATATGCTGATTTGCTGCTCAAGAAGCATTTTTAATTATTATCAATGTTGAAAACAGTTGTGCTGCTTCCTATTGAAATCATTCTAATATGCTGATTTGCTGCTCAAGAAGCATTTTTAATTATTATCAATGTTGAAAACAGTTGTGCTGCTTCCTATTTTTTTTTATACGTTTTATTACCATGATACATTTTATTTTTCAGGATTCTTTGATGAATAGAAAGTTCAAAAGAACAGCATTTATTTGAAATTTTGTAACATTTTAAACGTCTAATATAATATAATATAATATAAACATAACATATATGTCGTTTATTCTTCCTGTGATGCAAAGCTGAATTCTCAGCATCATTACTCCAGTCTTCAGTGTCACAGGATCCTTCAGAAATCATTTTAATATGCTGATTTGCTGCTCAAGAAGCATTTTTAATTATTATCAATGTTGAAAACAGTTGTGCTGCTTCCTATTTTTTTTTTTATACGTTTTATTACCATGATACATTTTATTTTTCAGGATTCTTTGATGAATAGAAAGTTCAAAAGAACAGCATTTATTTGAAATTGTGTAACATTTTAAACGTCTAATATAATATAATATAATATAATATAATATAAACAACATAAATGTCGTTTAATTTAAAAGCATATTTTGTGTTGATATATTTACTATATTTACATGTAAGAGCATCAGAAAACACACAAATACAGAGCAAGGCGTGTCCAAAACAAGTAAAGAAATTGTTTTATTATTAAATTAATTTAATTTGCATTCATTTAACTTCAGATTAATTTAAATAAACATTTAAAACCTATTAAAGCAATAATAATTTTAGTACTTTCCATTTGTAAAATATTAAATGAACTGCATTATGTAAAAATAGGTATAGCAACATGGTTATTTAATATATATATAAAAATATGATGCTTCTCCAGCAAGAATGACTATACTTCCATGCATATAATTTCCATTATATAAGGTTTTGATCAGGCCATTCACTCCTAATGTTAAGCATGGGTCAGATTGTCAGCCTCGTTCCTATTTTGAATCTCTGTCACCAGAAGCTGTTTCTAAGAGAGGAAACCCCGACGGATCCAAGGACAAATGAGGACAAACACAGCCTGCGAATGTGCTGCCAAGCTATTTCCAGAAGCGCCCGGTTTAGATTGTGTACATGAATTTCTGGCCCGTTTAATAGCGAGATATGAACTCAAAATAGAAGGAGGTACAGTACAGAACGAAACTGATATTTAAAGCTAGCGTTGACCTTACATTGATCTAGTTGGTCTGGGAATGCTTGTAGGAATGCGTGCTATTCTGGTTTTTCAGAATGAACTCAAACAGAGTTCTGTTTCTCCGTCTTGTAGGGTTTCTTCCGCCGGACCATTCGCCTCAAGCTGGAGTACGATAAATGTGAACGACGCTGTAAGATCCAAAAGAAGAACCGAAACAAGTGCCAATACTGTCGCTTTCAGAAGTGCCTGTCGGTGGGCATGTCCCACAATGGTGAGTGTGATTGACAAAAGCCCACTTCTGATGCTCATTCCATTGTTTTTCATCTAATTTCAACATTTGCAGAGGCTAGTCAGTGATTTCATTTATACATTTATTTATTTTGACAAACACTAAGGTCATTTGGTAATTTAATCCACTTCTCTCAGTTTATGGGAACGGATCTATATCTATATCTAATCTATATATCTAAAGTCGTTACATAGATCACTGCGAACCGTACAATAACAGTTGCACTTCATGGTAATGTGCACATATTTTAAATATGGACACCTTTTTAAAAAAAAATGTTATTGCTTAATGTACATAACAAGACAGGGAACAACCAACAATGCAAGACACTTCCATTGAGACAAACGCAGAGTTTACATTAAAGAAGAAGAAAAATATATATATATATATATAAATAAATAAACACAAGGAGCAAGGATGAAAACAAAGATGTAGTCGATGTAGACATTATAAAGAAAAAAAATATGCTAAAGTAATAAATAATTTGACAAAGAGAAGCATAACTTTTCAGAAATATGGACACTTTTTATTAGTGCACTGCTGGAAACTGTTTACAAGAATAATATTACCGGTACGTCACTGCCTCACTACAGCAAGTGCAAGTTGTTAAGAAGAATAAATCATGTGAAGTGGGACATTATTATAGTTTTAACAAATATTGTAATTTTTTGCAATTATTTATTTATTTATGGTATTGATAATATTTTTCTATTTACATTTTATATTAGGGTTTGCACAACGAATCATTGTTATTGCAGTTACAGTGTTATTTTAGTATCACTGAGATACTATTATAATTGTATTGGTATTTGTAATTTAATTCTATTTTTATGTTTTCTGTTTTCACTTTAATTTTAGTTGAAGATTTAGTAATTTTGTTTTGTGCTTTTGTCATGTCTGTTATTTTTTTTGTCTAGATTCTTATTAAATTTATTTCAGTTTTAGTAATGTTAGTAATGTTTAGTAATGTAGTACTTGAAGTTCAAATGAAAATGAGAAATAATGCTTTGACAAACAGCTGAAATAGAATAAGTTATTGTAAATTTTATTTGATTTCAGTTAACATTTATTTTGTTTTAAGTAGTGAAAATGTTTTTTATGGTTTTAGTTTTAGTTAACAACAATAACCCTGATTAGTAGTCGAGTCATGAGTTTACTTTATGTAAATAATAGTATGCTTATGTAATGTGCACATTTTTAAAATTACATTTTGCGAGATAAAATGCAAGTTAGAAAGCCATTTAAACTATAAATAGGATATTTAAATAATTAAATTATAAATAGGATGGTATTTCCTATTATTACATTTAATATGAACTTATTATTTGTCTAAGCAATAACAGAAATTTTGTTTACTGCTTCATCACCATGAATTAAATGCCATGCGAATGCATGAGTTTTATTTTATTTTTACACTCTCCCTATGAGAAATGACCATCCAAATAGGGCTAAATTCTTCAAGCGTTGTAGCAAGGTCCAAAATAAATACTGTCCATCTGAACAACTTTTTAAGGAATTGCAAAATTTACATTTCAGTCCATTCCTCACAAAAACTGTTGTTTGGCATTAGATGTCTTGAAAAATAGCACATTTGTAGTATGAGCTACTTTTATGGTGATTTGTCAAGTTTGTAGTTTGACAACACATGACCATTATTTGCTTATTAAAGCTCAATTCAGAGACAGAAAATATATAGATGCACCTATACTCCACTGAAAATATAACAGCGTATGTATGGGTTGATGTTGCAGCAACGTTCTGGATAATCTTTGACTAAATGAGCTAACGTGAGAGCGTTTGGTTGTTTTGTCCTTGAGATATCAGTGCATTGACTTCCTGCGATGACCTCTTCATTGTTTTCAGTCTGGAGTCAAAGGTCATCAATTATTAGAGCCGCTAACATGTCCAGCCCTGCTGAAGCACTCATCTCATGCAGGCTTTATGGCCAGCGAAGGCATGTGCTGAAATTGAGCTATGGTCGAAGTCTGAAATCTGAACTGTGGACACTTGAAAACATTGCTCAAAGCAATGTAGGTTAGCTGCTAAAATTAGCAAGTTTTATGGTGTCTATGGTTGCTTTGATAGAAATAGTCACTATAAATTGTGTTGGAAAAGAGACTTGTGTTACTAAATAAACAGGGATTGGTTGTTCCATTCTTTTCTTTATTAAAGCGGTTTATCTTTCAGGTTGACACACATCGTAAGATGATATAAACACATATGCTTGCTTTAGAATAGGCATCTGCTTCAGATTTGCTCATCCCAGTGAAAGTTAAAACCAGCGACCCTCGCCACTCCCTTCATCCTGTTGCATAAACCTTTTTTTTTGCATTAAATTAATCAAAAGTGGCATATAAAATGTTACATAAGATTTCTATTTCAAATAAATGCTGTGCTTGAACTTTATATTCATCAAAGAATCCTGAAAAAAATTGTACACAACTATTTTAAAACATAATAATCAGAAATGTTTCTTAAGCTTCAAATCAGCATATTATTATGATTTCTGAAGGATCATGTGACACTGAAGACTGGAGTAAAGATGCTGAAAATTCAGCTTTGAACACAGGAATAAATTACATTTTACAGTATATTCAAGTAGAAAACAGTTATTTTAAATTGTAATAATATTTCACATTATTGCTGTTTGTACTGTATTTATAATCAAATAAATGGTAAGCAGAAGAGACTTCTTTCTACCTTTTGACCTATTTTACACCTTGCAAGCCCCAAAAAATAGCTTTTTTCTATTTCGCTTTGTACTGTGTAGTTTTTGTGTTCATGTTCAACATAACAACAATCCTGTTGCTGGACTCTTTTTTTTTAAAAGTTAAAAACTCATAAAATCTCATAAAAACATGTTATGCGGCATATTGAAAAAAAAGCAAGAAAGTCTGACAGTGTTCTGAATTGATCATCTAATGTGGAAAAGTTTTGAACTGTGATCTTAATATGCCATAACAATACATATTCGTGGAGATTAGTTTCAACATGTATGCATGTGCATGCAAAAGTGTTTTCGAAACATGCATTTGTGTGTCATGCAGTGGAGGTTTGCAGGCCGGGACTGTAAGCTTATTAGCTGTTGGAGATTATGGCGTCTGCTTTAGGATTGTATTCAGCTTTTAAAGATGTCTGCATTTGCATGCACCATATACTTACAGTAGAGACCTAAGCAACTATCCAAAACACACCAGCAACCACATAAAATAATTTAGAGCAACTCTTCAACATCATAAAAGATAGTTTTGCATTGGCACCACTGGCTAAATCTAGTTTCTGATATGTTGTGTATTTATTCTGGAGCAGCTTCACACGATCAACAGTGTGCATGGAAGGAGAAATCAAAAGTATTTATTTAAAACAAAACCAGCGACACTTGTTAAGTGGAAAAATAAAACTATTCAGAGAATGGAATGGAAAAATAAATACAAAGTTTCTTTGTATTGGTGAAATAAATAGTATATATATATTTTTCAGTTCCATTCTCTGAATAGTTTGATGTCTCCACTTCACAAGTGTCGCTGGTTTTGTTTTAAATAAATCTAGTTTCTGAAATGCTGAAACAATGTTCGACACCATAATACCTACCGCTGCTCTGCCTGTCCAATGACACCATGAAACTGCATTTGAACACGGTCCAGATTGAAACTCATGTTACTCAATTCCTCTGGGCAAGTTTCTAAGGCACCAGACATCCTGATCTGACAAAATCTGTAAATAGTGGCCTTGGATTTCAGCAAATATTAATCATCCATGATCAGCAGCGCGTGTGGTTGTTTTGCAAGAGAATCCTCAGAGTGAAGGTTTACAGACACAGCTTACAGTCCACTTTTATGTTATCCACACTTGCATCAAACTAACAATAGGCTATTGTACGATATTGAACAAAAGCACGTTGAACGTCATGCCAAGTAAGTCACACAGCAGGTTGTTAGTAGTCAGGCAGAGATTAACTTTTATGTGATTTGAACTCTTGGAAGGCTGTCAAGAACTAACCACAAATGATCACGTCAAATTTTATCAGCATATCACTGGAGAAACTTCAGATATCGGTTTCGTTCCAAAATATAGAGAGCTTCCTACAGAGGCCGCAGCATTATAAGTAGGACTGCACCCGACTAAAGATTCTTCTAGTCGACTAATAGTCGCTCATTTAAGCCATTAGTCGACTAATTGCATGTTTATATTCATTTAATTACTTAAAGGGATAGTTGACCCAAAAATGAAAATTCTGTCATTAATTATTCACCCTCATGTCATTCCAAACCCGTAAGACCTTCGTTCATCTTCGGAACACAAATTAAGATATTTTTGATGGAATCCAAGAGCTCTCAGACCCTGCATAGACAGCAATGCAGCTGAAATGTTCCCAGGTCCAGAGACATAGTAAGGACATCAGTAAAACAGTCCGTGTGACATCAGTGGCTCAACTTCAGTTTTGCGAAGCTACGAGAATACTTTTTGAGTGCAAAGAAAACAAAAATATATATATTTTTTAACAATTCTTCTCCCCCAAGTTACGTCTTCCGCCATTTTAGAGAGCATCACAATGCATATGCACGCTTTCCCCTAAGCGTAAACAAAGCTGATTATGCAGATTATGTTCATGCACGCGCTTTCTCCCCCGAACGTAAACAACGCTGATTACGTCGATTACGCTCTTGGGTACTCTCCAAAATGGCGGTAAGACGTAACTCGGGGGAGAAGAATTGTTAAAAAATATATATATTTTTTAACAATTCTTCTCCCCCAAGTTACGTCTTCCGCCATTTTAGAGAGCATCACAATGCATATGCACGCTTTCCCCTAAGCGTAAACAAAGCTGATTATGCAGATTATGTTCATGCACGCGCTTTCTCCCCCGAACGTAAACAACGCTGATTACGTCGATTACGCTCTTGGGTACTCTCCAAAATGGCGGTAAGACGTAACTCGGGGGAGAAGAATTGTTAAATAAATAAATTATTATCCAGGTGGATGCTGCACATTGGTGGTGGTTGAGGAGATTCCCCTTCGAATTATGTATAACTCTTATCTGTATGAGCAAAAATGACGTTGTATTTTAAGTTATCAGGAAAAAATGCCAGTATTTGTGCGGCGCCTCCATATCCTGCAGCAAGCATGCTAATAGCTTCCACACTTTGCACAAACACTCGGACATGCGTTTAATAGTGCACATATATCTAGATTAATGTTAGAGAGCAGCCGTGTAAAGCTGCTACTGCTTATGTTTCACAATCAAATGATAAACAATATTTTAGGTCGATGAATGACAGGCGAGTGTTTTGATTTCCTGCACGATATAAAGTAATTACCTCAAAGACCAGCCGTTAACGATCTGTCCGCCATGAACACAGACCTTTTTATTTCTGCGACTCATCGACTAATAATATTTCAGTCGACTAAGGCCGCGCACAATAGTGCAGGCACAAGGTGAATGTTGAGAAAGTCAAACTCATCTATTCACGCTCATCCGCGGTTGAGTATATTTGGATGCGGCTGTGCACGAGGCAGAACAGAAATATAGCCAGGTCTAAATAGGATAGTTCACCCAAAAATTTAAATTCTGTCATTAATTGCTCACCCCTAAGACATTCGTTCATTGTCAGCACCGTTAGCCTCGTGGTTAGTGTCGACACATAGCGTAACTGCGCTCACGGTGACCCGAGTTCGATTCCCATCTCGAAGTCCTTTGCCGATCCCGTTTTCCTGTCGTCTCTCTACTTTCGTATCTCAATTTAAAAAAATGTAATGCATAAAAAGCCCATAAAAATAATAACTTAAAAAAAAGAAATTTGTTAATCTTTTGAACACATATTAAGATATTTTTGATGAAATCCGAGAGCTTACTGACCCTGCATAGACAGCAACGCAACTACCACATTCAAGGCCCAGAAAGGTAGTAAGGACTTTCATAAAATAGTCCATGTGACATCAGTGGTTCAACTGTAATGTAATGAAGCTACGAGAATACTTTTTGTGTGAAAAGAAAACAAAAATAACAACTTCATTCAAAAATTTCTTCTCTTTTGGGTCAGTCCGCCGCCCTTATCGAGAGTATCGTGATTGAACATGAATGAATGTGGTAGTTGTGTTGCTGTCAAACAACTACCACAAAATCTTAATTTGTATTCTGAAGCTGAACGAAGGTCTTGAACGACATGAGGGTGAGTAATTAAGGACAGAATTTTTGGGTGAACTAACCGTTTAAGCTTCATCTCATTGACTAATGTTTAGTCGACTATTAGGTGAGCAGCCATAATTATATGTCTTACATGGGACATTCGTTTGGTTGTATTCTCTAAATTGAGGTTCTTGTTTGTATCCTGCGAACAGCCATCCGCTTTGGGCGAATGCCACAGTCGGAGAAGCTGAGGTTGAAGGCGGAGATCCTAACGGGGGAACGAGAGGTCGAGGACCCGCAACTGGCCGATCAGAAAACCCTGGCCAAGCAGATCTACGAGGCCTACCTGAAGAACTTCAACATGAACAAATCCAAAGCAAGGACCATCCTGACGGGCAAGGCAAGCACGCCGGTAAGAGCATCCAGCAATGTGCTTCATGTATTAGAGCTGATGTGTGTCTTTTTCTGGATCTATTTTGTCTATAATTGCTGCAACATACTTGCAACAACTTAGCATCACCCTAGCTACAACCAAGAACACCTTAGTAAAGCCCTAGCAACCACTCAGAACACCTTAGCAGCATTTTGAATCTAGAACATTTTGAATCTCTTTTAAGTTTTCAGGCATCACGTCAAGCCTAATCACAAATCACATAATCATTACACATTTTAGGTAATATGTTTAGACTAATTTTGGATTACTTTTAGATTACTTTTGACCTAACTTGTTCATCACATTGATTTAAATAAGATAAACTTGTATTATATTGATAAAAATATACCAAGAGAAAGAAAACATATTCAGTTCCTTGTAATTAACCACATGAAGTGCATTAAACATTATATTACATCAAGGTTTCCCAAACTGGGGTTTGTAAATGTCAAACGATTAATCGCGATTAATCACATCCAAAATAAAAGTTTTTGTTTTCATAATAAATATACACAGTACACACACATATATTATGTATAAATACACACAGAGTATATATTTTGAAAATATTTACATGTATTTATTACACCACATCACGCAGCTCGACAAAATACAATTTCTATTCTATATTGTCGCGCCGCTCACGTTCGGTGTAGAATTGAACCCATTATAATCAGTGATGTTGTCTACACTGGATGCAGTAAACTGATGCCTCGCCTCATGCTACTTATGACGTGCTGACACAAAGTTCAAATGATTTTCAACGGTTGCTTTTTCGTGTCCTATTGCGGCACAGACACGGTGCCAGCATAGTACACACAGTCAGTAATGTAGCAGATTGAAAAGTTAGTATCTTTCTGCAGTCCAATAGACGGCAGTGCGGTGGTGGCTTGAGTCTGTTGAACAGTGATTTAACGCTACGTTGTCAATTTGTTGGAGAGACTCAATGCTAAGTAAATAAACAACAATGTCCCTGTCTTTTACTCTCACAATGCGCTTGAAAAGAAAACAAAAATAACAACTTCATTCAAAAATTTCTTCTCTTTTGGGTCAGTCCGCCGCCCTTATCGAGAGTATCGTGATTGAACATGAATGAATGTGGTAGTTGTGTTGCTGTCAAACAACTACCACAAAATCTTAATTTGTATTCTGAAGCTGAACGAAGGTCTTGAACGACATGAGGGTGAGTAATTAAGGACAGAATTTTTGGGTGAACTAACCGTTTAAGCTTCATCTCATTGACTAATGTTTAGTCGACTATTAGGTGAGCAGCCATAATTATATGTCTTACATGGGACATTCGTTTGGTTGTATTCTCTAAATTGAGGTTCTTGTTTGTATCCTGCGAACAGCCATCCGCTTTGGGCGAATGCCACAGTCGGAGAAGCTGAGGTTGAAGGCGGAGATCCTAACGGGGGAACGAGAGGTCGAGGACCCGCAACTGGCCGATCAGAAAACCCTGGCCAAGCAGATCTACGAGGCCTACCTGAAGAACTTCAACATGAACAAATCCAAAGCAAGGACCATCCTGACGGGCAAGGCAAGCACACCGGTAAGAGCATCCAGCAATGTGCTTCATGTATTAGAGCTGATGTGTGTCTTTTTCTGGATCTATTTTGTCTATAATTGCTGCAACATACTTGCAACAACTTAGCATCACCCTAGCTACAACCAAGAACACCTTAGTAAAGCCCTAGCAACCACTCAGAACACCTTAGCAGCATTTTGAATCTAGAACATTTTGAATCTCTTTTAAGTTTTCAGGCATCACGTCAAGCCTAATCACAAATCACATAATCATTACACATTTTAGGTAATATGTTTAGACTAATTTTGGATTACTTTTAGATTACTTTTGACCTAACTTGTTCATCACATTGATTTAAATAAGATAAACTTGTATTATATTGATAAAAATATACCAAGAGAAAGAAAACATATTCAGTTCCTTGTAATTAACCACATGAAGTGCATTAAACATTATATTACATCAAGGTTTCCCAAACTGGGGTTTGTAAATGTCAAACGATTAATCGCGATTAATCACATCCAAAATAAAAGTTTTTGTTTTCATAATAAATATACACAGTACACACACATATATTATGTATAAATACACACAGAGTATATATTTTGAAAATATTTACATGTATTTATTACACCACATCACGCAGCTCGACAAAATACAATTTCTATTCTATATTGTCGCGCCGCTCACGTTCGGTGTAGAATTGAACCCATTATAATCAGTGATGTTGTCTACACTGGATGCAGTAAACTGATGCCTCGCCTCATGCTACTTATGACGTGCTGACACAAAGTTCAAATGATTTTCAACGGTTGCTTTTTCGTGTCCTATTGCGGCACAGACACGGTGCCAGCATAGTACACACAGTCAGTAATGTAGCAGATTGAAAAGTTAGTATCTTTCTGCAGTCCAATAGACGGCAGTGCGGTGGTGGCTTGAGTCTGTTGAACAGTGATTTAACGCTACGTTGTCAATTTGTTGGAGAGACTCAATGCTAAGTAAATAAACAACAATGTCCCTGTCTTTTACTCTCACAATGCGCTTATCATATTCGTTTGCTACATTAGTAGGACAGAATCGCGTAATCCAGTCATAAAAACGGAATTTACTGTATAACATGGAATTTCATGGAATTTGTCTTATTTTTAATGAATAAATAAAAAATAGGTCAGTACATATTTAAAGACTGTGTCTGTGAATATTAAACTGCAAAAATACCTTTTTGAATATGAATGTTCTGCATGTTCATTTGCTTACCAGAAAATACACAACACAGAATTTGTGAAAAAAATATTATTCATTATTATTATTTATTCATTTTAGATGTTTACATTTGGAAAAGCTGTTCTTCCTGCATAAACCTGCCTCTGTTGGTTTGGCAGTATCTTGCATGCCCTACACAGTTACCGTGTTTAATTTCTTAATTCAAGTTATATATATTTTGTTCTATTGGTGTTAAGTTATTTATAATAAGTGAAGTGAAGTTTACTGTTAAGTGCACTGATGTCAGACTAATTTTGAATAATAAAGTTTATTGTTAAATTGTTATCACATGTTTGATCACCACATTTGAGTTATCATTACAAAAAATGTTTATGTATATATATTCTGTTTATGTAGGCTATAT